AAAAAAAAAAAAAAAAAAAAAGCGGTATCTCTAGGTATGCAGAGAAAGGACCACCCAGTTGATTCTGCTCCACCCATGTAAAGAAAATCGCTTCTCTCCACATAGGGAAAGGGCAAGGGGTGTGATTCTCCAGCAAAAGTGTGTCAGTGGGAGGGTGTTTGAGTGCTTATATGGCTTGGGGGTACGGTTGTTTCTGAGGCTGGCCCTTCGTATAATATTTCAGTGGAAGGTTGTTGTAAGAATATCAAGGTGGAAGCGTGGATTTTTCTTTAGCTGCTGTTTGCTTATAGAGAGAGAGTACCAGTCAATTTGGAATCAGCTCCAAAGTGAAGGACAAATGTAAAGCAAAGGACAAATAATTCCCCCCCCCCATATCTTTTGGTCTCCCTACACCTATCAGGAGGAGGGCTAAGGACATGCCAAGCCCTCTTCTTATGAAGAAACTAGCTTCTCTCTCTAACAAAAGGAAAACTTGCATAGTCCACTCCTGTGGCAGTGGTGATACGGTTCCTCCCAGGTGAGAGTAATGTTTGCCTGCTCAAGTAGACACAACCTGGTTTGTGTGACATGACAGCCCACCAGCTTCTCCACTTGAACAGGTGTGCACACCCTGCTTCCAGGCATGAAAAGCAATTTCTTTTGGTGCTTGAGATTTTGTCCTATTTTGACTAAGCTATACTCAAGGCAGCTGTAGGAAGACATGAAACCTCCACGAGAGCCTCTTTTCCTGCTTCACCTTTTGAAAAGCGAATATGCTTGGCTGCCTTAGGTGAACAGGGGTCTAATTTCCTCATGGTGCTTTCTCAGTAGGAGTTACAGAAAATTAGTACCTCTTGAGAGGCTCCTCTACAGAAAATTGGAATCTCTTCTGCTGTCTGTTCAAGAAAATGGGTATTTTGGTTTCCTTTGGGTGAAATCTTTCCAATCTTAAAGGCAGTTGCTGTTCAGTGAGAGGGACTTCCTGAACTGCACTGGTGAAAGATATTTAAACAACACCCCACAGGACTTGTTTTAACATATAGAGGACTTTCAGATGAATATGAAATATATCTGGCTAGACTCAAGTCATTGTAGAAGAGTTAATATATAATGATTACAAAATAATAACAGACAGCAGCCTTAAAACACATGGGCAAGGGCAGCACTAACTACATCACCTGGAAGACCTAACTGAGAGAGCGTACCTGCTGAAATAAAGCACTAAAATAAAGTGCATATTTAAATGTCCTTCCCTCACCTCAGGTAGTGCGGTACAGCTTTGTTGAATGTTTGCTGTCTTTGACCTGCGCATGTGTGAGTGTCCCCATCCTGTATTGGTTGAAGCAAAGTTGGCAATGCTGTATTTGCCCTTCTCTTTTTCCTCCTTGTGCCTCCAGCATAGACACACCCCCTTCCTGCCTCCCTTCATGAATTAAGATTTATTAAACAGCAACAACAACTGTTGTTCGGAGGACAGCTGAGATAGGCAGGCAGGCCATTCCACTTTGCCAAGGTGGCAAGAAATTGGTGTAAGAGGGAAACAGCAGTTTGTGCCTACTGGGAGATAAGCAGCTATCTTGAACTGATTGATTATTGTTTATTTTTAGTCTGCCTAGAGCTGTTTGATCTTGGAGAGCCCAGGTTTATTACTCTTCTCTCAGACAGCATGCTTGTTCCTAGAACGATGATGTTAATCTCTTGTTTGGAACCTACGTGAGACTCCGTTAGTATTTTCTTGCTAACAAGCATAGTGCCGGCACGTTTTCTACATCACACGAGGCAACATGACTGTCCGCCTCTCAAGGGCAATATTTTCCCATTCCGCCTCTCAAGAATTGTATAATGGCAGGCAATTGCTGATCTTGGAGACAAAGCTGTGTTAAAAGGTTTGTTTCAATAGCTGAATGGTAGTCTGTCATAGGTTCTTTATGTCCTTTTGGTTTAAATTCATGGCCTTTTTCTCTGCTCAGCCCCCATCAGGGGGCAGGCCTTTTAAATACAGTAAAAAATAGCTTTTTCAAAGCTGTGGGGAGAAATTCCAGCCAGATCTGAGCAGCTCCCTTCCTTCAGAAAGCAAAAACAAAAACATTGATATAATTTTTCATCTTAGTATTAAAAATGATGTTGCTATAACTGATTTATAGCTTGTGTTTCTGACATGCAGCACAGACTTCAGATAAAGGGTCTTGGGATTTGCTATCCGTATCTTCAGTAGAAGAGGAGGCTAATGATCATGCCTGGCATTAGATACATAACCTGGCTTCCATACACTCTTTCTGAGTCAGCTGTATATATTACGTATGTGAGTAACTGCACATTAAGATGGCCTTCCTGTATTTTTTTTAAGGCTACTATTGTGAAGAGGGAATTGGTGTAATGCCACAAGGGGTCATAAAAGTCATTCTACTGCAGTACTTTGCCTT